GTCAATCTTAGTTTAATTAACTAACTCTGGTTGTTTTGACTAAAACTTATGTGCGGACTCTCTACTTGTCACATTCACTGAGCCAGTTTGTGACTGCTACTATGACTCTTTCCGATGCGTCTCATCTGATGCTAAAGGCCACTACCTAAACGTTGATGTATAACACATTGGGAGTGAAATTAGGTTGGTAGCTATCAAAGACAAGATTTGTAGGAGTGATTAGTGGGGAAAGAAGTTGTTAAAAATAAGATGGTATTATTCAGAGTAGTCCAGTGGGTTGGCATGAGGTAGGATGTTTTAATCTTGATAGTGGTGCGTAGAAAAGTCTTAACATCTTTAGCACCTTGAAGAGCAAAGAAATTAGTGAGAAAAAGTCTCTACGTAGGGTTTCTAAAGGCTGAAGCAACTCAGTCATGGTCTCGTTATGTGAAAGACCATCATTACACAAAGGGATAATAGGTCTGTTTGACTGGATGGACTGTGGTGGCCTCCTAATGTAGAGATAGTCATCAGTGTTTTGTCTGAGCTGTAACCATTATGTCTCGTCTCTTTCTTTTCAGCCTCTGTCTATATTTTCTTTCAGACAGTCATCTTCCTCTTTAGTCCACCCTTTCTATCTCTCAATGTATAGAGGACCCTGAGGATGTCACACAAAACAAACATTGTGTCACACTGTGGAGATGAACACAATCAGAAAGACTGGGCATGTAGTCTAAATGGGGCCACTGTTAAACAGCTGTGTTCCCTCGGTTCTTCTACACAACGAGCAGCCGATCACTTGCTTCATTGTACTGTGCTGGATTTGACGTTTTATGACTTTGACATCTCATGTTGAAGTCCTCATTTCGGCGCACTTCTTTCAAGTTGCTGAAGTGAACAATGACCCAGTGACTTAATGCCCTTGCTGTAAGCAGCAGTGAGTGCCTCCATTGTTACACGGGATTACAGTAATGGCTCTCTGTCAGGTTTTGGGAAAGTGGCCAAAGGGATTAACGCAGATTCCCTCCTGTAATGCCTGATACCATCCTACTATTAAATCACAGTCTCCTCAGATGATCTAAACACTCTGACTGTTACAGTTACATCAGTTACACCTGGAACAGCCTTAATTACGAATGGCTTTAATAAGCTCTGTTATAAAAGTTAAAGCAGCACTAATTTATATTTCCATGTTAACGACAGGTCAAACTGCTCCTAGTGACAAATCCACGGAGAGCAATTACCTAACTCTGTGGTTCCCCTCAGCTCTATGGAGCTTTTTAGCATCTCTTTCAGCTCACGTCTTTGGTATAACAGCCAAAACTTGATCTGTTTTGGCTCACTCTCACTGTTCCCACAAGTACTTTTTTCCAGAAGCTGTTTTTAACTTTGAAAAATCCACTGTACACCATCTGCCTGTACCAACCAACAGAGAAAACAAAGTTAGCAACTAACTGGAAAACATAGCAGAGCATTTAGCAGCCATATTTAGCCAGATGTTTCCCACAGGATTTGGTGTAGACCAAAACAAAGCTAAAAGGAGCCCACTGGTGACAAACAAATGCTAGTGTTGCTCTGTGTCTGCTGAATGTGTAACCAGGCAAGTGTTGCTAACTCAGTATTGTAATTAGGAAATAAAAAGTTTTGAAAAATAAAGGAATTCTCTATTTCTCTACTATAATGTTGTAATCTGTTTGTGTCATTTCAAAATAAGACATTCATCCATACTCACACACATTGGCTGAAAATGGTTTTAAAGTTTTAAATTCAAGTGTGAAAAACAACAGCTGTTCAAAGGTTAAATTGCTAACTTTAAAAAAAAAAAATGGAGTTACTGGTTTTCCCCTTATTCTTAGTTTATCAAACATTTGATAACATTTTTAAGGAATATTTAACCCCCCATATGACCATGACGATGAATCTGTGAAGAAAAGATGCTTTTTCTTGCATGCCTTCATGGTGAACAAAGAATCCAAAAAACAAATAAAATTCTTGATGACTTGAAGTCGTAGGGTTCCGCATTTAACAACAGCAAAACATCTGTTCACAGACTCACACAACTCGTGCAGTATAATCCACGTCTCATTTATCCAGTCGTATGCTCACTACTTTACAAATAGGCAGCTCTTTCCAACAGGGAACTGACCTAAAAGTGAAATATATCTAAGCTTTCTTCTAAGCCAGACTCCATTGACAAAAACGTGAATTTTACCTCATTGAAGACAGGAGCTGCTGGTCTACCGCTGCCTCCATCACTTAGTTAGTTTGTGTTGTTGTGTGGCTTTGACTTAGTTCGGCTTCACCAAAGTCACACAATAACACAAACAAACTACAGATTGAGGCAGTGGTAGACCAGCAGCTCCCGTGTTCAGTGAGGTAAAATTACTGTTTTTGTCAGTGGAGTCTGGCTTTGAAGAGAGCATAGATAAGTTTCTCTTTCAGGTCAGTTCCCTGTCAGAAAGGGCTGTGTGTTTGGGAAGCACCAAGCATATGACTGGATAATGAGACTGACAGTGCAGGAGTTGTGCTGATAGTTTTGCTGATGTTAATGTGGACCCCTATATCTTCAATTCATCAAGAATTTCCTTTATTTTTGGATTTGTTGTTCACCGTGAAGGCATAAGAAAAAAAGGGATTTTTTTTGTCACGAATTCAGTGCAACACAGGGTAATTGATATACAAATGGTTATTTGGGGATGAAGTATTCCTTTAAGGGTCTAGGGCCAGTTGCACAAAGCACCTTAAGTTAAGATTTTCCTTAAATTATAAGTTAAGGTTGCCTTGTGATAAAATCAGTTGCACAAAACATCCTTAAGTGTTCTCCTTAAGGTTTTTCAAAATGTTTACTTACTCATTATTATCTTGGTCTTTTTACTTAAGGAATTGCTTAAAGTTTGTCAAACTGTCAGACTTTAGTAGCCAAAGCAAGGACAAAAACATGAAGTACCTCCGACTCCATCTTAACTGCAACATGGCTGAGTTTATGGAGATAAATGAGAAAAAATAAGGCTTCCAGGAAGAGTGTTCTGCGACCAGGAGAACTTGATGGACACACTTAATGATGAGCAAATGATTTTGAGCTATAAATTTGACTGGAAGTCAATTTATGATGATGACTGTCTGGTGTTAGATTACTCAACTGTCCAGAGCTGCACTCTTCCAGACTCTTTACAAGTAATGATTGCTCTATGGTTTTAGACAATGTGGTCTTTCCAGTCAGTTACTGGTGAGGTATTTCATTTAAGACTTAAGTGTCATACTTTTAGTAAATTACTGACCTCCTTTAATAAATACACAGTACTGGAATAATAGATAGCACCACAATACTTGCCAAATTAGGAGATTGTTAGGTGAATGCTACCTTCATTTTAAATATATTTTTCTAGTATTGATACTAGATGATAGTAAATAGCCTGAGCTGTACTATGACACAGAATTAGTCAACTCTGATGTCAAAGCTTGACAAGCAAAATGATTGCGCTGCAATTGTAGGATCGTGTATCTACATTTTGACTCGTTTCACCTGCTTTCGCTATCAGTAATGAAAGACTGACATAACATATATCATTTATTGTGCAGACTCTGCTAAATTGGGCAGTTCTGCTGTCCATAACACAAAGGTGACAGTAATGCTCTGCAGGTGTAAAGTTACTGCAGGTAGGACTGTGTGTCTCCTCAAGCCTGGATCCACTGGTCCCTCTTTTTCATCAGGGCTTTAGTCCCAGATAGAGTCTGCTCCACACACACACACACACACACACACACACACACACACACGCACACGCACACACACTGACTGCCCTTTCAGGCCATTCAGAACGTCTATAGGCCCTTGCTGTGATGAATGTGAGACTCTTTTTTTTAATGCAAGCACACTCAAAAAGTAGTGCACACAGAATACAAACTGCATGCAAAGCACCACATCCTCACACACACACACTCTCTCACACACACACACACACACACACTCTGAGTCAATGCCTGTCAGCAGAGCAACAATAGCAGCCATTTATAATGATACTGTCCTGAGATTCTCAGGTGTCTTGGTTGTTATTTTTCTCTTTAATTTATCTGGGTTCATTTTGGCTGCAGCTTTGGAGAAATAAATGTTATACTTACAAAAAAATATCCAAGCAGGAAATTTCCTTTTTTTTCTAAAGCATGTCCAATAATATTTCTGGTATTTCAGTGTTATCTTTTGCTGTATATAATCTTTAATATGTTCCTTTCAAGGCTGCAAATGTTTCTCCCAATAAGTCCAAGCCATTTCCTTCCAATATTTCACTTCCTCTTCAGGTGGACAGTGAGTTCAGTGATGAGTGGCCAGAGGTGCATCATGGGAGGAAATGATGTAATAACAGTGTGTTTATTTGTACTAAAGCAAACGGAGCGATTCCTTAATGAAATCCAGGGTGGGACTGTTTACCCAGAGCTCTCTCTTGAACAGTGAGGGCACTGTGCTGTGTATGGTGGCTGCTGCTGGAGAGTATGCTGGCACTGCATGGTCCTTCTCACACACACAAACAGACACACACACTGCACAGTAGCAGCACTCATCTGTTTGCAGCTGAGTGAAAATATTACCTCCTGCTCAGCTACATTTTTATCATCACAGCTGTAAAAATCAATCATGTCAAATAGCAGATAAATTCGTGATCAGGCTGTGGCTGCATGCACAGACAGCTCCGCTCTGCCGCTGTCTTACAAACACATTAACAATCATCCACAGATCGGAGTTGCCAGAGGCCTTGAGAATCTAGGAAAGTTTGTGCATTTAAAAAATGAGGCTTTAAATTAAAATTGATTGTGGAAATGTCCTCAACAGGGTTTGATTTTTTTCTGGCTCATATCTGTAGTCATTATATGAGGGATTTCTGGGTTTTTTAGGCAGGGCTGCTTCTTGCTATTATCTGCTTTTAAAGCGCCAGTCAGTCTTGGATGATAGACAAAAAATGTTTCCTCAGGAGCTGAAAGTTTGGAAGAAATCCAGACTACTGTCTCTGTCTCCCTCTGTCTACCAGGATCCGTCCTCAGCTGGCCAAGGAGAAGATCGAGGGCTGCCACATCTGTACGTATGTGATGCCAGGGGAGCCGCAGGTGGTCCTGGGTAAGGACAAGGCCTTCACCTACGACTATGTCTTCGACATGGATACCCAGCAGGAATCGATCTACACCCACTGCACTGAGAGGCTCATCGAAGGCTGCTTCGAAGGCTACAATGCCACTATCTTTGCATACGGACAGGTGGGTGATTTGCATGCTGCTAGGTCGGCACAGGGCACATATGCACTGTGTTCCCTCTTTGCATCGCTCCAGGGGATGGAGCTACTTCCAGCGAGATTTACGGCGGCATGTGACATGAAGCTGATTTGGTTTCATATCATCACTCTGGGTACTGAGGGAGTGAACATGCCTCAGAGCTGCAGCAGCTCTGTCAATACACTATCAGCTGACTTGTTCCGACCTGCTTGCTCCACCGCAGCTTTATATTGGCTCTGATAGATTAGCCTGAGAAGGCGAGATAGAAAGGGAGTTTATTACCCAATCAAAGCAGAGTGTGAACAGATTGCTTCGCCTCGTACCAGAGCAGGGAAGTAAAGTCGAAACATAACTGAGCGACATTAAATAGATGAAACACTAACCTGCCCTCTGACGGTTCAGCAGTTTAAAGGAATAGTTAGACATTTTGGCAACACTTTTTTACCATTCTCGTGTCTGTACGGTAAATATTGAGCTATTGATTGCAGCTGGTTAGCTTAAAAGTTGTTTTTACAATTTTGTGATTGTATTGCAAATTAGATATAAGGTGGCATTTGTGAGCTTTAAAGCAGCTAAGCAAAGCTAACTGGATGCTCACTGCAGCTATGTAGTGAGCAGATGTGAATGCCATTAATCTTCTTATCTTGCTTTCAGCAACAAAACAGTTTCTTTAATAATCTTTTACTACAAAAACCAGGTCCCTATACAGTAGATGTTTATTAGGGGATATTTTTTGTTATGCCCCACTAATAGCCTACCTGGACAAATGACACATTAAATAACACATTAAGACAGTTTTTAACGTCACTCTCTTGCAATTTTGAACAAGACAAGTCCACCATCCAAGATGTAAAGACAAAACCTCCAAGAATTGAACAAATACCACTGTGGCTCAGATATAGATCGCCAGTTTGGCTCCTCCAGTCTGCGTGTAGAACTATCCCTACATGCTATCCCTATCCCTATACTGAACCCCAAATTGTACCCGATGGCTGTTCCATTGGTGTGTGAGAGTGGATGAATGGTTACTGAGTAGCAAGTAGCACTATGTATGATAGCCTTGGCCACCAGTGTGTGAATGTGTGTGTGTGAATGGGTGAATGTGACATGCAATGTAAAAGTGCTTTGAGTGGACGGAAGACTAGAAAGGCGCTCTACAAGTGCAGTCCATTTACTATTTACCATTTTACATGAGGGGTTGAGGTTTAGTTTAGTTTATTAGAATCCCCATTAGCTACAGCTATTCTTCTTGGGGTCCACAAAACAGACTTAACATGGTGACAACGCAGCCTTTACAACTAACATCACAAGATAACATTGCAGTATACAGAGAACAATACCAAGCATCATCATAACACACATCGTAACACACGTGATAACATTACAGCATAAACAGGACAAGACTTACACACACTCAGATAAGACAAGCTCCTGATAATTCCATCATCAGCTTAAATGAAAAGCCCATCACACTGTGTCCCCGACACATTACAAAACATAGTACTGTCCATTTCAAACATGATGCAAGAAGGGCCCCAGTCTTCAAATTTTTACCAGTGGTTACTCACGGTATTGTTGCGAAAAAATCACCTGCGGCCCAGAAATAATTTTCCCTGTAGGCCACCATAATAATATGGTATGGAATCTTTCTATTCTGAATTTTTGAGCCATGGTGGTTTTATATAGTGTAAAACAAGTTAAAAAATCTGTGATGTCATCACAATGTAATGTCAATGACCGGAGCAGGAACTCGTGGGCCTGGCCAGCGGGAGAAACACTACTGCACATATTCAGTGGGCCGCATACTGCACAAGTAAATCTGGAAGCTACGAAACTTCTTTGACGCTTGCACCAGGCAAGCAACCCTAACAGTAGCAGCAAGGCTACTGTAATCATTTCATTTCATTGAAAAGGCACAACCCAACTCAACTAAAACTTAACATTAATGTTTATTTTTTAACCTAACAAAAATAGCCAGACCATAGGATATTAATTGAAAACATTTTTTGAATTAAACCGACAAGTTGAAACAACAAAATAGTTTTTCTTCATTATGAGTCGTCTCTTTCGGACTTTTGCATACTCTCCATTGTTGAGCTCACAGCAGCAGATTTTGACAGGAAATAGTTAGCACTATCATTACACTGCCCAAAAAAGCCAAACAGAATAACTACATGGGTCAAAATGGAGGTAAGACTACAATCAGACTTTCTGACATCTCTTTTACCAGCTACCTAAAAATTACATTATAGAACTTACTAGCTAAGGCTAGCTGCTGAAAGCTAATTTACCCACCCTTTCCTATATGTCTCCTGCATTCAAATCAGCATTTATAAATCCATAAAATAGCAAATGACTTTGTTATATTACATAAATAAGGCAGCGGCTAAATGTTATCATAAACACCAGTTAAAATAGTCCTGCTAACTAAAAGCTAACTAGCCTAGCTTAGCAGGTAGCAGTAACTGCTGTGTCAGCCTCTGAAATTTGAGGAATACACATGATATGATATGTTTAAGCTATCTTTAAGTTATTTTAATGTATTAAATCATAGATAAACTAATTAGACTAGCTAACGGAAACATTCTGTTTTTAGTTACTCCGTGTCTTTCTTCTTTTTCTGTTCCTTTGCTTTACTAAGCAGCCTTTGAACTTCAAGCTAGCTACTTTGAGTTAGATTCAAGCTAACGTCACTGCTTCGCTGACACCCTCTGATGTTGCTAACGCTCCTGATACCTCTGCTCTGTGTATTCATAATATTTTGGACCCTGTGGTAGAGTGAAGGCCTGTAACAGTATGTGGCAACATGACATGAATACTTTGGTGCAGCAGCGTCAAAGCCTATTCAATACAAACTGTTTCTGTTAGCCTTTGTTGTGTCTCATCTGGGCTGAAATGTACAGAGAGAGCAAGCTTCCTGCCTCTCAGCGTCTCTTTCCCTCCTCTTACTCTTCCCCTGCGCTCTTCTTCTTCTTTCTGTTCATTATTCTCTCCTCACATTGTTCCTGCAGCCCTTGTATTCCTGTCAAAGAGCCTTTCACAGGGCGCAGCAGAGGCCGAACACACACACACACATACACATACACATACACATATACAGGAGCATGTGCACAAACACAGTAATCACACAGGTGTGGTCTTGTAGAATTAACAGACATACACACACAGCGTCTTTCTCACACACTCCCTAATATATCACCCCACAAACACACACAGACACACACTCCTGTCAGGGTCTCTTTCAGGCGTTTCAACAGGGAGGAGAGGGGTGACGCGTGAATTTGAGCTCAATGTCGCATTCCTCCTTTTGTCACCATGGCGATTACCCCCATCCCCTCTGACCCCTCTTTTCCCTCTGTTAGAGAAACTCCTCAGAGCTGCACCCCAACCTCCAAGCCCCAGAGACTTTAGTTAGCTGAGTGGTTGAAGAGAGAGAAGGGGGTTATAAACAAATATCATTTATATACATAATAAACAATTTGGGACCCAAAACAGACCCCTGTGGGACTCCACATGTAATATCAAGGTGTGTTGATTGGTGATCACCCATCTGCACAAATTGATTCCTGTTTACCAAATAACTTTTCAACCCCTCTAATTCCATATTTTTATTTTTTAATTGTTCGAAATAAAGTATTAAAAAACTAAAGAAAGAAATAAAAAGAAATAAAAAAGATATATGGGTATAAAAACCTACTAAACTACATCAGGAACCCACATGACGTAAGCAAAAATAGACTTGTATCCCCTGTTGGTGAAGTAACTGATGACTCTGTCTTCTTCCCTGCGTCCAGACGGGTTCAGGAAAGACCTACACCATGGGAACCGGCTTCGACGTCAACATCGGCGAGGACGAGCTTGGTATCATTCCCCGAGCTGTCTACCACCTGTTCAGAGGGATCGAGGAGCGCAGACAGGCTGCCACTGAGCAGGGCAGGCCTGTTCCTGAGTTCAAGATCAACGCACAGTTCCTGGAGGTGCAGAAACACACAAAAATGTGACACTTTCACAGGATTTCAACCCAGAAATGAGTGTTTTCCTCCCATATTAAGGTGCAATTATCACCCATAGTCTAAACTCTACACTCAACATGTCCAGTCCACTTAAGGCCCATTAGTTAGATGTAGCCAGAGCATGCAGACAGCAAGAGGTCAAAGGTTAGCAAAGGGTGTAGGGGTTTGAGGTTGTTAAAGTGTCCAGATGACCCTACAGCCATTAAACTGTCATTAGTCTGTCTCCGTGGTCAGCTCCTGGATTTATTTTTAACCACCAAGTGGCTGCTAGCAGCTGGTGAGGAAGCAGCTGAAGGGAAGAGATCAGGCTGAAAAGTAAAGTAAAAGATGGTGCTGATGATGTCATAATTACACTTTGTCTCTCCTGTTTTTTTATTAATTGAATCTCCAGTTGTACAATGAGGAGGTGTTGGACTTGTTTGACTCGACGCGAGACCTCGAGGCCAGGAAGCAGAGGTCCAACATCAAAATCCATGAGGATGCCAATGGAGGAATCTACACCGTGGGGGTCACCACGCGCACCGTCACCTCTGCGGCTGAGGTCAGCTTTAACACCCCAAAGACAGCTTTATTTGCACCAACCCCATCTTTGTCCAGCATTTAGCTGTGTTTAATTAAAGTGGCTTTAAAGGAATTCTTTGTCCTCAAAGTGATCATTTGTATATAAGTTACTCACCCCTTGTTATCTTGAAATTGGAAAGAAAACTTTTTTTTCTCAAATGTAGTGCTACCCTCTGTTTGAGAAATAGTTCCTGTGAACGTTGATCTTAGCAAGGTTTGTGGATAAGTGACAGGACAAATCTCTGTGTCCCATTGATTGCTATATAATGGACTGGTTCGCTATATAGTTTTTATATTAATATCATTTTATGACCGTGACACAGAGATGTCTGTGGCATACAGTATGAACACTCACATTATGTCATCTCCTGTCTCCTTCTCTCCTGCCATCCGTTCCCTCCACCTCTCCTCTAACAGATGATTCAGTGTCTGAAGCTGGGCGCTCTGTCTCGTACCACCGCCAGCACTCAGATGAACGTCCAGAGTTCGCGCTCCCATGCCATCTTCACCATCCACCTGTGCCAAGTCCGAGTCTGCTCTCCTGATAACAACGTACGTACTCTAACACACAGCGGCAGATCTCTGCTGCCACTGAACATGATACTGATATTCTGCTAGACTGAGATGATCATCAGCTACAATTTCACAATCGAATCCTTTAACTGTGCTTAATAGTGTATCTCCTTCCAATTCTATTCCGTTCTTCCTCCTTCAGGATAATGTAACAGACAACCGTCTAGCTAACGACTCAGAGATTAACGAGTTTGAGACGCTGACAGCCAAGTTTCACTTTGTGGACCTGGCAGGTTCTGAGAGACTGAAGAGGACCGGAGCAACAGGAGACAGAGCTAAGGAGGGCATCTCCATCAACTGTGGGCTGGTGAGGAACCTAAGAACATGTCTCAGTCTGCACCAGACATTTTATATTGCACAGTGAAGTACAGTTATAGGCCACAGATATATACTGTATTTATGCATTGGATCCATTATGGATTAAATAATGTTAAACCTACTGGAAAATTTGCATTTGTTGTGGTCAGCATGTTTACAGTAATCTGACACTTAGATGTAAGGCTTTTTATGACCTTTGCAAGATGATTTTAAACCACATTTAAGACATGTCTTTGGACAAATCATCTTTTACTTATTCAGGCATTGCAGTTAAGTATAAAGTTAAGTATTACACGAGGTCCCATGCAGGAGTGGGTTTTATATAGCCTAGGAACATGGTTATTAGAGTGAATTAGGTTAATCTATATTTCATCAACAGGTAATTGCAAGTATAAAGTAAAAAGACAGAAGAAGGTTCAGTGGTAGCTTAAATGATTTTTGATAGCAGAAATGTGGACTTAACAAAAAGAAATTAAAAGATGGATAGTTGAATTAGATAAAATGTTTGTGGCAATTGAGGCCACATAAATTTGAATTTAAGGCTTTTTAAAAAATAAATTAAGACATTTAAAGACTTGTTAAGGATCTGCAGACACTCTGATAGTCAATCTGTCATTCTACAATGGCACATCTGGGTGATTTTGTGGAGCAAGGGAGCCCCCGTGTGGCCAGAACATGAATCACACATTTAATTTCTCGCCCTGACACAATTATCATTTAGCTTCACTTAAGTACAAATGAATGGTGTTTTCCAAAAGTACAGAGTTGTTAACTCCCTATTTCATTCATTCCTGGCGTTGTTTTTACTCTCAAATATTCAATCATAAACTTGTTGTTTTTCCTTGTCTTACCGCAGCTTGCTTTGGGAAATGTCATCAGTGCTCTGGGAGACAGGAGTAAACGCTCCACTCACGTGCCTTACAGAGACTCCAAACTGACCCGGCTGTTACAGGACTCACTCGGTGGCAACAGGTTTGTAACCACTGTGTGCTAATATGGATTATATCTTTGATGATGGATCACAGTTTCAAGAGGTAGAGAGCAGTGCCTCACAAGTCAGATAAAAAAAAAAGTTTATATGCACCCTTTAAGTTAAATTTGTCCTACTATGCCTAACATAACAGTCCTTATTATCACTAACTAGTACAAAAATAACTTAGTTTTACAGATTACTCATTGCAACCGATCACCACTTTCCTCATTTGTGCGTTCTCCAGTCAAACAGTGATGATCGCCTGTATCAGCCCGTCGGACCGGGACTTCATGGAGACCTTGAACACTCTGAAGTACGCCAACAGAGCCCGAAACATTAAGAACAAGGTGATGGTGAACCAGGACAGAGCCAGCCAACAGATCAGCGCCCTTAGAACGGAGATAGCGCGACTGCAGATGGAGCTGATGGAGTACAGGACGGTAAGAAGGGAGGATGTAAATATAGATCAAAATAGATCAATATAGAAAATAAAATCAGTGCACAGACATGAGTGCAAAGGAAATGTTATATTAATTGCCTCGCCTGATGCTCAGGGGAAGCGTATGGTGGGTGAAGATGGGATGGAAGGCATTAACGACTTGGTCCATGAGAACTCGATGCTGCAGACGGAGAACAATAACCTGAGGGTGAGAGTGAAGGCCATGCAGGAGACCATCGACGCCCAGAGAGCTAGACTCACACAGATCCTGAGTGACCAGGCCAACCAGATTGTGGCGAAAGCAGGTGGACAAAAAAGTCGTTAGTATTTATACTACCAATTTTTTTCACCAGCTAATGGTGCTAGATGAAAAAGTTAGCTGGTTTACCAGTGTATATTTCTGAATTAATGTTTGAAGAGTAGTTTTTATTGTTCAAGGTATTGTGTGTTACTACATTTAAAAGTCTTCTTCTCCACCACTGCTCCTGACAAGTCACCATGAATCCATGTTAAAGCTAAAATGATACCTCTGACTGTAGGTGACGGCAATGAAGAGATCGGGAACATGATTCAGAACTACATCAAAGAAATCGAGGAGCTCAGGTATGTCGTGACCACATTTTAAATTTTATTTTATTGTACTATGTAGAGCAATTTAAACACTGACTGTATCTACTTTGTTCCTCTCTCAGAGCTAAACTTCTTGAAAGCGAGGCTGTAAACGAGAATCTCAGGAAGACCTTGTCTCGGGCCTCCACTCGCTCTTCGCTGTACGGCGGCCCCGGCGGCTCTTTCTCCCCGGCTTTACTCGCCCCTGAGAAAGAAGCCAATGAAGTCATTGAGATGGCCAAGAAAAGCCTGGAGAAACTCAAGAAGAAGGAGAGGAAGAAGAAGAAGAGGTATGGTGTGGGTCTGACACAATGGTTTGTCATATGATGACATTCAGGGACAAATTCACAGCAGCTTTTGCTGCCGCTGAACCTGCACAAACCGCAACACAGAGTTGGTGCATTTAAGGGGTGTCACGCCCAAGCCCCTCAAAACCTGCTTGTTCCAGGCCTGAATATTGTGCCGTTGCGCCGCCTCGCCGTGCCTTATTTAAGGTACGGTTGTGGAATAGGGAAACAGAGAGGTCTCACCCTTAATTTGCTACAGGAGGTAGAGAACGGCAGCTGGCAAGAAGGGACCATTGGCTCGATAGGTGTGACATGTTATGCTTTTAACCTACCAAGGGAGATTTAAAATGTAGCGGTTAGCTGTTAGCAGTTAGCAGCTAACTTAAAGAAGAAGAACAGTGGCTGTAATGTAGTAAATGTCCGTAAATTTGGCAAACAATGAGGTCCGGGAGGTCCGGGAGCTCCTTACCCTCCGAGCAAAAGACAGATCAGCCACCATATAACTTGGACAGTAAATGCATGCTATTGCTATTGCCATGTAATGTTATGTTATGTCTATAAAGCACTGCGGTTTTTCATGTCATGCCTGTCACACCTCTTTTGGTTCCACGATTGCCAGGATGCAGTCTAAATTCACACACTGGAGCAGAATGATGCTGTGGTCATTTGGTTCTGTGAAAAAATGTGAAAGCGGCCTAAACAAGGGACGTTGTAGTGTACTCTCTGTGTTAAAAAAGCTCCAGACTTTCTGATGATCACGGTTGCAGTGATTGCAGCCAGACGAAGGCATCATCATGCCAGGCATGCCACCGCACTTTGTCGGTCAGGACGTGTAGCTCAAGGTTTTCTTTCTCTCTCTGCTAGTGTCCTGCCTACTGTGTTCTTGGTGCAGAGGCAACATTTATATACATTGGCACGAGAATAACTGCAATTAGACACAAAAAAAGGCAAACTGCCCTCAGCTACGAAACTCTCTGGGTCTGTTTGTGCTGTAATATCAGTAGCGCAATATCTTTTGTGATTTGGACCTTGAGACCATGCATGTAGAAAGAGAACTGGATACAGCATTGGAGGCGGGGCTCTGTTCATTCCTATGAGAGTTGCTGAGTGGCCCATAAAGCTAAGAAAGTTTAATCTGGGTATAAAATTACTTCGATCTTATGCATTGTGAGGCCCATAGAGCAAGTGCACTGGAGACTTACTGGCTAATTTCCGGTGTCGTACTTTGCTAACTTCAATGGGGATAAAAATGACCTGATCGCGTGGCTCTTCTAGACTTGAAAAACATTAAAGGACCAAATGGATCAATCCCCAACAGTGAAACAAGTCATTTTGCTGGGGTTGTGATGCTCAAAAAATGTATCCACAGATTTACAGACGTCTCACAATGTAAGTCAATGGGACAAAGTCTTATGGGGCCCAATGACATCATGCAACCTGGACATTGTAATTCCAGTTTGGCTGCTGTATGAAATTGGCCTCAAAGCTTGGCGCTGTTCCTGAGCACTTACTTGAGACGGGGCAGATATGCAATTTTTTTTTCCAAAAGGGTATCTCCTAGACCCTGCTGTATTTTGATTGTCGAGTTCTCGTCATGTCACTGCATCATGTCACTGCATCTTTGCCCTAACCCAGTCAGGGTTAGGGCAAAGTGGTCATGGGTAGAGTTAGTACTAGCCAATCATAGCACAGTAGGGCGGGACAAGGCGGAAAGTAATGCCCAATTCCCAGTGCTACCAGCTGCCACAATCCATTCTATTTGAATTCCCCTGTCAGTGTATGGATCAAAGAAATGCAGCTAAATCAGTATTGAATCCTGAGAACTTCCCTGGAGGTGAATAGAATAACAAACGCGTTGTGAGGATACTGAAAAGGGAGAGTCTTAATGTTTTTCTGTTGCCACAGCGAGGGCGTGTGGCCTGATGTGTTGTGGGTAATTATCTCCTGGCTCCCTGCATTAGCAGTTAACTCTCTGGGGTTTCTTAAATGGAATGAAGGCTGGATTTAGAGACGAGGGTGATGGCTATAAATGATGATGGCTGTCTGAAGAAGAGTGGAATTTAATTTGTGATCTGGTAATTGTTTTCAGCAGAATTTCTTGAGGCAAAGTCTGTCATGTGCACCTCCATAAGCAGTGTTCATCATCTGAACACAGTGTGTTTGTCAGTCTCTCTTTTTTTATGTGCTGCTCTCTCATTCTCTGTCTCTCTCCCAATTTATAACACTCCCTCGCTTGCCCCAACTTCTGCGGCCTGTCTGCCCCCTTCTACCTCCTCCTTCACCTCCGCACCTCACCATCCTCACCCCCATCCTTCCATCCCTCTCTCTCTGAAGACTAAGGCGATACGAGGAGAGTCACCACCGAGAGGTTGAACACACCAGGTTTGCTATATCCCACCCAGGATTGGGTCAAATCTGAAACTGGTTCAATTACCGGCGGTGCAAATCATTGATATGAGCCAAGTAATTGAAAGGATTTCAGGTGATTGTTGACCTGCGTCCGAACCCAGATCTCCCTTTATGAGTTCCCAAAGTGACTAATCTCTAACTTCTTCTGCACCTACAGGTGGTTAACACTCCTGGAGGGAAGCAGATACTCTAACCAGCTCTTACCTCCTCCTCTTCTGTCTGTTTTCCTTTTCACTACACACGAGCTGTTGATCAGATCTCATCATAAGTAGCGTCTTAAATTGGAGTTTGATTGTGTGCAAAAAAAAAATCAAGATTTTTAGATAACGGTCTGCAGATTTTGGTCAACACATCTTAGTAGTGTGTGGCACTTCCTCTCAAAATGAAATCAGTGTGTGATATTAACTGTTGATAGTGATCAGTAATCATTTTGCCTCTCCCAGTGTATCATCACTGTCACCCTCCATGCAATCACACTGAAATCATCCATTAATACACTGACTCCACATCTGCTCCTGACCTGATCGAGTGTATTATCACTTGCATGTGCCCTTTACCCATCCTTGTTCTGATTTAAATTGCAGTTCATTCCTAATCTGACCTCCAGTATGAGAGCTTGTGTGGCAGCTGATTAATAGTCTATTCATCTTTTCAGTGTTGTCAAAGAGGACGTGCCAGACAACGACCACGAGCGAGGCAACGAGGAAGCAGAGGTGCATATGAACTGCATTTATATTTAAAGATAACACATTTTAAAGTGTGTATTTCTTCTTGTCTTGTTCATGTGTGTGCTTATATCTTGACAGGAGGCCAGCGACCACGAAGAAGGCGAGGATGCAGATGGAGAGGAGGAGGACTTTGACATTGCGGGAGATGAGACGTCTGATGAATCTGACTCTGATGAACTGGAGGAGAAAGGTAGTCACCATTTTGCGCAGCTTCTTCAATGAAGTCATAGGTGATAAAATAGAAGAGGCAAAAGGATGTGATGATTTGTTCGTGCGCAGAAAACGTCCAGGCCGACCTGGCCAACATCACCTGCGAGATCGCCATCAAGCAGAAGCTGATCGATGAGCTGGAGAACAGCCAGCGGCGTCTGCACACACTCAAACAGCAGTACGAGCAGAAGCTGATGATGCTGCAGAACAAGATCAGAGACACGCAGCTGGAGAGGGACAAGGTGCTGCATAATATGGGTAAGAGAGGTGCAAACAGAGACTTCAGAGAATCAATAATGAGCATTGTAACTAGTACTTAAATACCCCTCTGAAACTGAAGAGACTGAAGAATCTGGTCTAAAAGGACAAAACAAACGAGGCTGTGCTTTCATCATTTCCATCTCCAGGTTCAGTGGAGTCGGGTACGGAGGAGAAGGCCAAGAAGATCAAAACAGAGTACGAGAGGAAGCTGAGCTCCATGAACAAAGAGCTGCAGAAGCTCCAGTCAGCTCAGAAAGAGCACGCCCGCCTACTGAAGAACCAGTCGCAGTACGAGAAGCAGCTCAAGAAACTCCAGCAGGATGTGACCGAGATGAAGAAGACCAAGGTAAAAGAAGAGGTTTTGGGTTTTTTGGGGGGTTTGTTTTGAAAATGACATTTATTTACTGTAATGCAGCCTTTTAAACCACGGAAATAAAACACTTTATATATTACAATCTCCAAAATCTAAGATGATATCTAGTCTCAAATCACAATATTGATATAATATTGATGTATACAGCCCAGCCCTGCTTCACACCTGTGTCGTTGTAGTGCTGATTTTGTCCTGCTGTGTTTGTATGTCTCCACCAGGTGTCACTGATGCGTCAGATGAAGGAGCAGCAGGAGCGGAGCAGAGCAACGGAGTGCAAGAGGAACAGGGAGATTGCCTCTCTGAAGAAAGACCAGCGCAGAGCCGAGGTGAGAGGGTTGGAAACATTTATCACAATCACACAGTATTTGTCAAAGTACTTTTATTTGGAGAGTTTGTTGGAGCAAAACTATGAAACTGTCAACCAAGAATCGATGTTTTTCATAGAGGTATTAAATCATGGCTGAAAGAGAAACAACATTATTCCCAAGTGTAGACACACCTGCGTTTTGTATTTTGTGTGGTCATGTTTCTGTGTATGTAGGTGTTGTGTTGTGAGTATAAGTTTCTGGGTTTCGTTTCAACACTGCAGGTGACATCTTCTGCAAGAAAATTTTGAGCATCAAACAATTTTTTCCTGCACTCTGGAGAATTTTTATACACAAGTTTTTGCTTTTTCTGCATCAATTTATGACGTAAATTTCTTTAATTTTGTCAAAATATATTACATATATTCAAAATATTGAAGGGGGCTTATTCCCATACCCAACTCGTCACCTACCCATACCTATGCCTATGTTTTCTCTGTATTTTACATTTTAAAAATGCCTCTTGTGAACAGATGTTGCAAATTAGCGTTTCTCTACAAACATTGAACACAGCGCATCTGGTCCTAGTGCATTAATGCACAGTTCTATTGCTATTGTAATGTCCATATCAAATAAAATATATAACTATAACTGCTTATTTTACACATAAACTCAAGTGTGTCAAAAAGTTACTGCTCTTAACTCGATCTAGGTTTAATGGTCACTGCATCTCACAACTTAATAACATGATGAAGCCTTGCTTTTCTAAAAGTAGAATATATAGTAGGTTGATTTTTGTCATGACTGCTCACCAACCTTTCACTTTCTTCATACAGCACCAACTGAGGCAGATGGAGGCTCAGAAAAGACAGCAGGAGCTGATTCTCCGCAGGAAGAATGAAGAGGTGAGACACACAGCCACATAAACAGAGTATGGATACTATAACAGGTTTGCATCGGCTTTTGTTTAACTCTAATATGCAATATGAACTGCTGCATCAGGTGACGGCTCTCAGGCGGCAGGTGAGGCCCACGTCTGGGAAGGTGAGCAGGAAGGTGAGCTTACCCGACCCTCTGCAGGAGCCTCATAGAGCCACCCCAGGAAGGATGCAGACATCTGGAGCGTCCCCAGCCAGTGGAGCCAGGTGTGGCACCTAAGCAATGTGCATTACACAGCTGAGTGTGTGTTTAAACAGTTTTAAAAGGAGCCATATCTTCTTCCTCAGGAGTTCTCCGATGCGGATGGGAAGTATCTACCTCACCAGGACAGCCAGGGCCAAATGGCAGTCACTGGAGAGACGTGTCACTGACATCATCATGCAGAGGATGACCATTTCTAACATGGAGACGGACATGAACAGGCTGTTGAAGGTAACACGTCATCAGATTATAATAAAAATCATGCAATAAGGGAAGAAATTGTGTGTTTTTCAGTCCTGTAGGAGAAATATAAAATGATATCATTCCTCTTTTGTTCCTTCCCTCCCTGTCTCCTCTTAATTCCCTCGCCTTAAACTCCAACACCAATTTCAGCAAAGGGAGGAGCTGACCAAGCGCAGAGAGCGAGTGTCCAGAAAGAAAGAGAAGATGGCGGTGGAAGGTGCAGACGCCGACCGCTCCCTGGCCTCCCTGAACGAGGAGCTGGAGTCTCTGGGCGCCAACATTGACTATATCAACGACAGCATCGCCGACTGCCAGGCCAACATCATGCAGATGGAGGAGGCCAAGGTGACGTCTCGTAATATCTTGTAGTCATAATGCTTGTAGTTGTGATGCTTCACAAATGAAGGTAACACAGGGTAAAGGAAGGAGTAACAGTGCACAGTATTATGTATCACCACCTCATTAGCTAGTACATGCTTGTACTTGACTGTAGTTAATAACTGGGAAATCATTGCAGAGTTTTGCACCAGAGCATTTTGGACAAATAAGCATCAGGTGCTTATTTGTCAGGGAAACAATGGCTCAGTGAAACAACAGCCACTGTCAGAACAGCCTATTAATGCAGCAGCCATTAGGTCCAGCAGCCTAATGACGCTCACTGAACAGCAGTTAATACATGCAACTTTACAAGTGTTATGTGAAGAGTATTTCACTCTGCATGGCCTCTCACGTCACACTCTCATGGTGTTCCATCAATAGTTTTTAATGAATTATTTTTGATCTTAAATAATAACCAATCAGAAGTTACAACAAAATCCTGCGACTGCTGTCCCTTTTGCCAAACTGTGCAGTTATTTATCAGCTGTAAGCAGCCTGAGGGCTACAGTGTTAACACTGGGAACACTGTTGTAATGCTGTGTAAGTTGACATGTTCAATACCTGGATGACACAATAACTTTTGAATCAGTGCAAACTTAGGATTGTGTTACTTACTCTTAGTTTAGAAGTAGTGTTTTACACATAGAAATATGTATTTCTATGGATTTAATTAATTGGGAGCATTAGCTAGTAAAGACTTTAGTCATGTGTAAATTAGTTGCCAGGAGACATCTGTAGTGCTGTTGCCCAATCAAAAGCATCCTATTACCTACACTATGTAAACCAAGGAAAATATAAAAGAAGGAAAGGTCATGGCATCAGTGACAGCGCTCGACGGGCCAGACTTTGGTGTGAGTTGTATTGGAGTCAATGGGGTGGGCACAGTAAATCACACTGTAACACATCATATCTTTATTGTTTTAACTTTGACTGGAAAATCCTTCCACCAGATTACAAAACACCAAGTTTTTGATGCAAAATATGCGCTTTAATTTGCCTTGTTGTTAGTCTCTGAACAGATCGTGTCTCTGTCCAGCAGCTGCATCTCAAGCCCCTGTTGGATCCAAGAAAGCTAACACTACCTGCTGATAGTGGGTACATGAATTTGGTTTTCAGTAACTAACCAAACTTTAAACTGTTGATGATACTGATGAATAATCAGAAGGGCTAACGTTAGATAGTGTTTCCAATAATTGTCAGGAGGTGGCGCTAATCGCCAAATTATTTGGCCCTCCATCACTTACTGGTACTTGTGACTGTAAATAAGAGCATTTGCACTTGTTAAGCTAACATTAGCCAGCAGTATATCTGTTGAGTTGCCCTATATTAATTTGGACTGTTACCTTTAATGTGGTGTCAGTGAGTGTTAGCAAATGTTAGAGCCTCTCAAGCTTTAACTTTGTCATGACTTATACATGTGCTGGTTAATCAATGTTGGATGACTAAGTTTGTATGAATGCAAATCACTGAGGCAAACTGCAAAGCATCATAGCATACAGTCAAGCCCTAGTGTGGCAAATAATTACCCAACAGAAGGGCCACATCATTAAGTCCAGCCAGAACAATAATCAGAGCCATTAAGAACTGATGTGGTTATGATTGAGGTCTGGTCAGTGATAACAGGTCAGACCTGCCCTGTTTGTTTATGTGTCAGGATGTAACGTTAGTGATCTTGAAACAAACGGGGGCTTGAGATGTAGCTGCTGGACAAAGACATGATCTGTTTGGAGACCCATAACAAGGAAAAAACACACATATTTAGTATTTAGAAAAAAACACCAGTAAGCATCATGTAATGTGTGTTTTTCAATCTGGTGGAAGCATTTTTCAGTCAGAGCTGAAACAAGTTTTGAGTTTGAACTGCCATGCCCGTTCCTATTAAGTCTGGCCCCTTGAACACTATCACTGACATCTTAACCATTCCGTCTTTTACATGTTCCTTAATGTAAACAAGGAAACTATGAAGGTTTATAGTTTCTGTATGTAAATAGAAAGTCACTGTACAGTTTACAGGTTAATGGCTGTACTTTAACTTTCAAAAATTCAAGTTTGAAAAAGAGAAACAATGATTAAACTTTACTAACACTCCTTTAGAAATGTATCTGCATACATGGAGAATTACCTATGTGTGTCAGAATAAGTTATACAGTTTACAATGAATGGGACATATCTGATTTAGCTAACATTTTGAAATTTGAAGTAGCTACACTGTGTTATTTTGGTGAATATAATTTAAAAATGTATGTGTTGTATAATATTGTGTGTCGTTATTATCAAACCAAGCTTTATTTAAAGTAATTCCCATCATGTTAACCACATTCCATTATCTATTTTACTCCTCAGTCTAAGCTAGCATATGTTAGCAAGCTATGGTTAGCATTAGCACTGGTGCAGTTAGCTACACAACACCTGGCAGTTGAGTGTAAATATTACTAACAGCTCATATCTGTGTAGGAACTAGTTTGTGTGGAGTGTTAGGAGTGCTAGTGGGCAGTTTTTGTTTCATTTTGACAGAGCCAGGCTAGCTGTTTCACCATTTCCAGTCTTTGAGCTAAACTAAGCTAAGCTAAGCTGCAGGTGGTATTAAACAGACATCTATAAGAGTAGTTTCAATCTTCTCATCTAGCGCTTGCCGAGAAAGCGAGTAAGTGTATTTCCCAACACTTTATTGACTGTGTTATGATTCTGTTACAGGAGGAAGGAGACACTGTGGATGTCACCGCAGTGGTCAGCTCCTGTAATTTATCAGAGGCCCGCTTCCTTCTGGATCATTTCATGACTATGGCCATCAATAAGGTACCTACTGCCCCTGCTGACTTAATGTGATTTCAGCCTTAATGCTATCACTGTGTTTTTGTTTGCATTCACGAGCTGGCAAAAGATAAGCCAGGTCTCTGTATATCTCTGAAAGCAACTTGATAATCGAGGGATGCTTGACTTGTTTTGCCCGGGGGCCAATTTTGCAAAATGGATAAACAAACATTAATAATATCATGACTAAACATTAAAGATAAAGGCAAATTCATCAGTCCATTTTAATCAAATTGTCTGTTTTGAAACCCTTCGACATTTGCTGTCCTCATCTTCCTTGCCGAGAAGTAAACCCTGACAAGTTGGTTGTTGCGGCAACTTGGAAACAATTTGTGCGTTCATCTCGATCTTGCTTTCGTAGCCATGGCTGCTTTATAAGATTGAATTCAATGAGACTTTAAATGGAACAACTTGATTAAATTAAGTTTCTATTAGATTAGACAAGATTAGATTTGATGCAGCCTAATTGGTCCAGTGAGGAAATGCAGCCGCAAAGAGATAGGCGGATGGAACAAATGAAGCGGTGGAAGTAATTATAAATCGGCCACTTAAGGTAAGGATACAGAGGCTTCATTGGGTTTGTTGGTTTGAGATATACGAACAGGTACAAAGAATTTACTGCTGCGTGTCCAGTGATAACCCATCTGCTGTGTCATCCTGTATCAGGGTCTGCAGGCGGCTCAGAAGGACTCTCAGCTGAAGGTGATGGAGGGCAGGTTGAAGCAGACTGAGATCAACAGCGCCACCCAGAACCAGCTGCTGTTCCACATGCTGAAGGAGAAAGCGGAGATCAACCCGGAGCTGGATGCTCTGCTGGGCAGTGCTTTGCAAGGTGGGAAACAAACAAATCACTTCCTGTGTGAGAATGCGAATCACAATCACCTTTTTCTTTCACCATACAGCTACATTTTATTTTGTGGGCCTCAGATTGTAAAAATTGATGCTCAAAATAAAATAAAAAATCAGGCCTGTGAAATAAAGAGTAGCCCCTTTTCTCATCTTTGGGTTTGATTTTGATTTGATTACTGTTTGTTTTCTCTGTTGTGTTGATGTGAACTCAGAGTTAGGTTACCTGTCACCAGGTGAGTATGGATTGTGTAGCAATGTGGCTGTGTTGGAGAGAGCGTTGCACGTGCACACTACAAGATTTCCCGAACAAACATTAATATCCAGGCAAATATGGAGTTAAACTAAAAGATTTTGTAAAAAAAAATTGCTTATAAAAACTTAAAGTTGCTATAATATGGTTGTATAGTAGTTGGTGTACCCATTTTGTGATATATAAATGTGCATATGTGAAACCAGATTAAGAAATTTTGTAGTGTGCATCAATCCTTAGTCCTCCATTTAAAAACTAACCCGGTTGAAATAACTCTGCCATGACGTGCATGATGTCTTGTGTTACGTTTCCCCTGTTACCACCACCTGCTAGCAAGTCCCCACTGACTCAGGTCACTAAAACTCAACAGCAGAAAAAAAAAATCAACGCTGCAGCAGGACTCAAAGCTAAAGTGTACACGGCAGTTTATGTGTCTGCATTTCTGTGTTTGTATCTCTCTCGTGCTTCCTCCATTCTGCCTTCACACCAGATAAATACTCAAACACCATAGCTTCCAGTTGCATCACACTAATGACACCTAGTTGCTCCCCTTTATGTTAAACTAAACCCAGTGACCCCTGACCTTGTTATGAGCTGCTGAGGCTGTAATCACTGCAGAGTGGATGTTAGGTTTTGCAAGATTTCTTGAAAATACAGTTTCGTAGCAGATGAGTCATTAAAGGTTAAGCTCATTATTTTTTAACCTGGACACTATTTGTCGAAGTGACTCATGTGAAACAATAGTTCAGTATTACACAATAAGAGTTTATGCCAGGTCATTTATGTGTGAGAGTAGTGGCCAGACTGCAGTGTAAATGCTTGGAGCATGTGTGCACCATCAATTTATGTCCACTAAAATTGCTTGTTCTTGCCACTGACAGGCTCAGATTGTTATTTAAGTGTTCAAGAACTTAGTACACATTGGACTACTCGTGAAAATGCTGGAGCTGTAACTGGGTTTTTATTTTAGAAATAGAAACTGCTTCTCTTTCTTGGCCAGAAAGAGACTGGTCTCTATATATGAATGCACCCACCCAGTCTTAGCATGGACTCTGTGTACCATGGTGCACTGAGATTTGTTACCAACTGTAGGCCACTAACTCATCATTGGCTGGCTCTCCTTACAATTTCATAGACTTTTTCATTGGCATTCTCTTGTTTACAAAGCTATTCTTGGCCAACTTTCAGCCTACTTATGTGAGTACATTTAGCAAAAGATTTTAAATTGAAAACATGTTTTCATTGTCTGTACTGAGGGTTACGTACAGAGTTTGGCAAGCGAGCATTTATGTATGCAGCTCCTTATTTGTGGAATCTTCTGCAGAAGGACTTAAAGTTGTACTCATTGGTTCCTCTCAGCCATTCCAAAGTACTGTTGCAGTATTTTATACACAATCGTCTATGTATATGACAATGTCACGGTGTATCTTAGCTGGTCTGTGGGACATTATTAGTTTATATTAGCATACTTTTTTGTCTTTTCTTTGTAGTAATTTTATTTTGTGTTTTATATTGCTTGTTTTAGAGTTTTACATTTTTACTCAGTATTTTTGTTCTGTGTTGTCTGTAACTAATTTTGCTGCCTGTCTCGGCCAGGACCTTCTTGAAAAATACTTTTTTTTTTTAATCTCAAGAGGTTTTTCTGGTTAAATAAATAAACAAAAACTAAATAGAAGAGATAGACCTTTTTGTGACAGAGTAAGATCCTTTTTGTGTAACCAGAAACAGCCCCAAAACCTCCATAACCAAATCCCCCAAACTCCATTTACATAAACAGTAATTTAAGCGTGTATTGAGTCAGCATATTTAAACATCTAACTTGCTGAAATAAGAGTGTATTTCAACCAAACCAGAGTTGGTGATTGGTGGAACAGTGAAAAGGTGAACCGAGATGACTTTTCTGAGTTTTATGGTGTTCCTGTCCGCTTTTAATGAGGTGTGTTTTGAGATGATAAAATTACTGTTTTTTTAAATGGAGTCTGGTGGGTTTTCCGAGGCTGTTTGTGGTTAAACTGAAAGGATCTCACTCTTTCACAAAAAGCTCTATCTTTGTAGGGATTATTTCCATAATGTTAGCAGACACCTAAAACAATAAGCTGAACCTGTCAATGGCACTTTTAGTGGACGTAAATTGTCAGTGTGAACATGCATCTCAAAAACTGTAGTTCCCGTTAGTCACTTTGACGCAGAAGAATGGGAAAATAGGGTCCAGATTTAAATAACCTGAAGATACCCTTTAAGGGAAACACATATGCTTCAAGAATTAAATCTATATTTTTTTAATATAGTGTATATTTTTTACTATGTGTGTAATGTATGTGTGTTTTATGTTACAGAGAATGGAGATGACAGCAGTAGTGATGAGTTCACCCCCAGTCCAGCCACAGAGGGCAGGTAAATACACACACAGTGTGCTCTTTTTCACATTAATAAGTCCACAGACATTTTTACCTTTAAGCTGTTTCTTTAAATGTGCAGAAACAACAGTAGTTCATATTTTTACGTCATTTTTTTTTTCATGTCACAGTGGGAAAAGCTCAGGTGTAGTGGATAACATTAATTAGGCGTGTCACTTCCAGTATCTTGGTATTGTGCATGCTGGCTCACTGGGACACATAAATGGACCAAGCTGTTTTTAATGTATCAGTTAATGAATTACACCTGTGCTTTGTCTGCTCGGACAAGTCAAACTGCCTACTGTAGAAATGAAAGCAGTCTTCTGATACTACACATCCACAGCACACAGGTGTTCTCAATGCTGGGTAATTAGACCAGGGCTCAGTCCTGTGGTCCAATCAGGCTGCATCTGTGAGAGCACCTGTGTGGGTGGACCATGGGTGTGTAGGGCCTTTAGAGAGCTCACCGTGTATTTTAGCTTTGTTAGAAAGGTTAATGGATCGCTAAAAGCATTAGCTTCAAAGCATAATAAACAGATACAGTATGTTACCCAAAACCACCCATCTATGCTCTAAACTGCTTGTCCTATTCAGTATTTTTACTTGTGCAATTAAAATATCACTGAATGATAAAACTAATTTATGTACAAATGAGAAAAGAATCCAAGGGGTAAATACAAAGACCTCCCCAATTAAAAAACAAACAAACAAGTGTTGTAATTAAATAGTTTGTATAATAAATGTCATTCCCTGTGTATAGATGGAAGCAGCACATGTTTATTACAGCTGATGCTTCATAAAATATGTTTATTTTCCTGTACATTTCACACCGTTTTTAGTTTTAAAGCCATGTAAATGTATTGTTGTTCTCTCACACAGTAGGTTCACCACCAAGGTGACTGAAATATCTCAAGTAATTTCGTACTGACATTAGAGTTGAAATAACTTTGGTAGTCCCTTCATGCATGCCTCAGAACTCTGTAGATCTCAAAACCCTCATAGTGGGTGTAACTGATTGAAAATCCCTGACTTTGTTTCAGCATCCTGGCATCAGATCTAATGAAGTTATGTGGGGAATCCAGACCTAGAAGCAAGGTACTGTACTGTGCATGGCTTTCTGATATACCAGTAGTAGTATGAGTCAAACTCAAATTTGAGTCTATTTGACATTTTGACATCCTATTTTACGCTTTACAACTTTTTTTCCATTCACAGTAGTTATTTATAGGACTTGGAACAATTACTATGTGGTCCACTGACTTGTGAGTCAGCAGAATATTGAGCCAAACAATTCTGCTCCCTCAGGCTCGCAGGCGGACCACCACCCAGATGGAGCTGCTGTATGCCGGCAGTGGGGATCCGTTCTGTGAATCCCCCACCGGAGACTTCCCGGCCCCTCTACTGCCCCTCTCGGAGCGCCTGGAAGGGCCGGCGGACATGCAGGGTCACGTGTTTGGTCAAACCCCTGACCGCGAGCAAACTGTTTCCCCATCTGCACTGTCTGCCAGGCCAGCTGGCATGTAAGTGTCGGGTGCAATATTTCTCAGTGGTAGACACATTTCTGAAGATATTTCTTTTTGTCTGAAATGAACATTTATTTTAGTGGGGAGGGGGACCATTATCGCGACGTCATCATCATCAAGTACTGTAAAATAATGAAGTAAGGAGTGCTACGATCAGGGACACACACAGTCTGCACTCCCACCCTGCTTAAGTGTTATTTATTACTGCACCAAAGCACAAAACGACTCCTGTCACTTTAACTCTCTGCAGCTCTGGATCCAGGTCACCCACAGGGACTGAGAGGAGGCCACTGGAGCGCTCGCCCCTCAACCGAAGAAAGGTGCAAGAAAGAGGAGCCACGGCGATACACATCCCAGCAGCAGCCACTCACACACCTCCACCTAGTGCAGCAGAGGCTAAAACTAAAGGCAGTGACCACAAATTACTGTAAGTGAAAAGTGTCATCAACAACGGTGCTTTAAACGTTTTTCGGTCCCCCAACATCAAAAATACATATTTGTCCTCTTACCTTTAGTGCTATTAATCAATCTAGATTTTTTTTTTGTGACTTGCAGAGTGTTGGAGATATCAGCCGTAGAGATGTCTGCCTTCTCTCTAGTATGATGGAACTAGATGGCACTCAGCTTGTGGTGCTCAAAGTGCCAAAAAAATACATTTGAAAAACTCAACATCAATGTCTGTCCAGAAATCATGACCTGGTTACTTGAGATAATCCACAGACCTTAATGTGAGCAGTTTCATATAGGAATTATTTTCTTTCTTTTGAACTACACCCACTAACTGTATCACTCTGCAGAAGGAAGAGTGCATCTACTACTACATCAGTTAGCACCACTGAGCTAGCTAACGTTACAGCTCAGCCAAGGAGGACGGCATTAATGTTTACATCTTGCACTGTCACGAGCATTAACCTCTTGTCCATGAGTAGATGCACGTTTCCTTCTGCACAGCGATGCGGCTGATAGTGTAGTCTAGATTGATAAATAGCACCACAGATAAGATGAAAAATGAACTTTTCTTCTTTTTAAGACCTCCATGAAAGACAGTCTAAGAAATGACTTTGAAATGTGCATGCTACATTTTAATTCATGTTACTTTGCTTTCTTATTCAGGTTGGAGGAGTCGCCTGTGTTTGAAGGTCATAGGTAGGTTGTGTTGTTTATCTCTTAATTTGTCTCTAAAGTCTTTTTAAATAGGAATCGCCTGGGCCGCTTTTTATGTATCCCATCCTCTGTAGTAGAACCAATCTCTAGATGTAACGTTCATCTTTTCATGTGCATTGTAGAGGCGTGATCAACCCTGTGACGGCCCCAAAGAACAGCCGTGGGGCCAAACTCCAGTGTGTCTACGTAGCGGAGGGCCACACTAAACCTGTTCTCTGCGTAGATGCCACAGATGATCTGCTCTTCACAGGATCCAAAGGTCGAAACGAAACTGTTTGCAACTCAGAAAACATACTACTGTTTTTTTTTGTTTTTTGTTTTTCAGTTTGTTCTTTAACGTGTTTTGTGTGTGTTTTCAGACCGTACATGTAAAGTCTGGAACTTGGTGACGGGTCAGGAGATCATGTCTCTGGCAGATCATCCCAGCAGCGTCATCTCAGTCAGGTACAAGTTAAATAGCAGTAAAAGTTGTATTTAATAGCAGTACTTTGGGAGCTTTTGATTATTTATTTTGTCTGTTTTTTTGTTTTTGTTTGTGTTTAAGGTACACGTCGAGTCTTGTCTTCACTGTCTCCACCGCTTACATCAAAGTGTGGGACATACGAGACTCTGCCAAGTGTATCCGCACACTCACGTAAGTTTGTCTATTTTTCTGACACTTTTACAGCGTGACATTGTTGAAGTGTAATGCCTTTAATAAGCAGGTCATTTTTTGTGGACGTCAGGTCATCAGGCCAAGTGGGTTCAGGGGACATCTGTTCATCTGTCAGGAGTTTATCCATCCCGCCAGGAGAGAGTCAGATCAACCAGATCGCTCTCAACCCTTCTGGCTCCTTCCTTTATGCTGCTGCTGGCAACGCTGTGCGCATGTGGGACCTCCGCAAGTAAGTCGAACTTAGAGTGTTAGTTGTATGAGGCATTTAAGAGCTACCCAGTCGCCAGAGTAAATGTTGGCATTGTACCTTTGTGGAAACCACAGATACGTCACATTTCTCTGTGTTTTTTCATGTGTGGCTAAGTTAAGGCACAAAAACACATGATTATGGTCAGGAAAAGGTTATGTTTTCACTTAAAATACCTAGTTTAGGGGCACAATCCCCACTGGAAACACAGCGGTGTATCAGTAAAAACAAAAGCTTTTCATGGCACTCACCCTGGAGGATTTGCAGCAATACTTCAGTAAAAAACAACCCGTTCTCATGGCACTATCTCTGGTGGAAAACCAGCAATGTGTCAATAAAAAACGCCCACATTTCGTGGGTTAAAAGCAGCTATAAACACAGCAATGGCTCACCTAAACACAACCGTATTTGTTTGTTGTGCTGGAACAATGATCAACAAAGTGTCACGCCATCTACCATCCTGTCCACCTTCGGATAATAAAGTCAGCTAGTTTACTACATCACTTTAAAAGTTGTGTTTGTGGTATGCAGAAACTTACAATGCCAACATTTTCTTCTGGCGACTGGGCTGTTCACAGTCAGACAAAAGAGAATTAATCTCTTCTTAATTCTTTTCTTTAGATTTGTGTCCACAGGGAAGCTGACCGGCCATTTGGGACCTGTCATGTGTCTGACTGTTGACAAATTAGGAAATGGACAGGATCTTGTCCTCACTGGCTCCAAAGACCATCATATAAAAGTAAGAGACACGCAGACACACACTCAAAACGTTAATGTCATCCCCATATTTGTGTGCATGCATGAATTAACTACACAAGAATCAGATGCATTGTGGGTATATTTATTTGTTTTTTCAGATGTTTGAGGTGGCAGAAGGTGCCCAGGGGAGCATCACCTCTGGCCATACGTTTGAACCCGCTCATCAGGATGGCGTGGAGTCTCTGACCGTGCACGGAGATGTTCTCTTCAGCGGCTCCAGAGACTACTACATCAAGAAGTGGGACTTAGCCAGTAAACAACTGCTACAGGTATGGTGATAAGCTCATTTCAAGGTTCATCCTCAAGGTTTCTACTATTGTTGTACTGTTTAATATAAACATCTTTGATTTTAACACTCACTCTAAGACACAAAATATGGAAAATAATAATAGTTCTCCTTTAAAAAAAACAGTAAAAAAACACACAGTATGATCTGAGATACAGAATAAACTCGGCGCTAACTAACTAGCTGTCGTCTCCTCCAGCAATCCGTCAGTGCCCAGGCAGACTGGGTTAGCGCTCTGGGCATGGTGCCAGGCTCCCAAGTGCTGCTCAGCGGATGCAGAGGAGGGCTGCTGCGCCTCTGGCACGCCGACTCTCTGGCGCCCCTCGGCGAGGTCCGGGGACACGACAGTCCGATCAACGGCCTGGCCACCAACAGCAGCCAACTGTTCACTGCCTCAGAGTGAGTCACAAAACATGCTCATATGAATGCTTTTCTCATTACTGTCAAGTGTGCGGTGATAGGATTGAAATAGAACATGAGTTTGAGGCTGGAATTGATAATCATGTTGTGTGTGTGTGTGTGTGTGTGTGTGTGTTTTTTCAGTGACCGCACAGTGAAGATTTGGGAAGCCAAAGGATCTCTGGAGGAAGGAGTCCACTGACACCTTACCTGAAATCGAGGATCGTCTTCTGGCCTTTACCCAATCAAAATGAATCGTTTGTGAAGCTACTACATCACCCGTGACTTAATCAAGCGTGAGATGGGCTGAAAAAGAATCTTTAAACAACACTGGCGCTCCCCAGGGATCAGTTTCAGGGAAGTCTAATTAGATGCGACAGCTCTCAGTCTTTCAAGATGAGTGTATTTACTGATAATTTAGGTCAAAGCGAGTCACAGCGGAGCCTCTCCAGTCTGCTGCAGAGCTCCAAGGACGACAGAACAGCTGCAGTGGACAGCATCTTTCATGACTGCAACAGAAAACAACAAAATTAAAATAAATCATGGACTTCTGTGTCTCTCCTGTGCTTTCAACATTCCTCCCCGCTTTTCAGCACTAGACAACATGGATACCTTATATGCTTTTCATGAATTTTGCTGGAGCTGATGAGAAAAACAGGTTCAGGGGAGATGATTTGCCCAAAGTGGCCCAAGACAAGACATCTCCTGCTCACCAGCAATAACTGTGAGTCTATCCTGTGTGTTCATGACTTGTGATGTGTTGTGTCATTGCTCTCCAGGTCATTTTGTGTGTGTGTGTGTGTGTTCTCTGTAAGCAAGGACCAAATAACTACTGAAACTGCATATGGTCTTATCCTTCAGCTGTTACTGCCAAACCCTCAGTGGAACATAAGAAGCCTCTAAATAAAACATACCGCGCTCCTTTGACAGGGTCCTTACACATTTTCCGCTTTAAAGTTCTGTACTTGTCCCGCTGTTATAGTCAGTGTTCATTAAACCAACCACTGACTGATATTATGTCTCCAAAAAAATGTGCATATCATGGCTGAACAACAGTATTCCTATATTCTGCCTTACATAAGCAGCGAGCAGTAACGACAAAAACAGTGAGGCTGGAGACAATTAGCTTGAAGTTAAATGCTACTTAGTCAAGCAGAGGAACAAATAAAAAAGGACAAGCAAACTGAATGTTTCCTTTAACTTTCTCGTCTATTTGCACTAATGAACTTGACTAATTAATCAAGATAGGCTCTGATTTAATACAGTTAAATATATGATTTAGAGTTGCCACCATTAACTGATTAATTGAGAAGATGTAAACTTTTAAACTAATTACCAAAGATTTTTTAAAGACAAAAAATCAAAAGTCAAAATTTTCTTATTCTAGCTTCTTAAATGTGAATATTTTCTGGTTTCTCTACTCCTCCATGACGGTAAACTGAATATCTTTGGATAGTGGACAAACAAGACATTTCAGGACCTTTGCTTTGGGAAACACTGATTTTTCACCATTTTCTGACATTTTATAGCCCAAACAACTAAACGTTTTATCAAGAAAATAACTGACAGATTAATAAACAATGAAAATAATTGTGAATTGCAGCCCTAATATGAATTAATAATACGATTTCATGTAAATATAGAGTGCCCCAGGGAGGACGTTTTACTGTAGGCTGAAGCAAAGGTCAGCATCATACTGGTTTCCTTGTCGAAAAGCCTATGGGATGATGGATTATTGCCGAAAATAGCCTATGATACATATTTTGTTGCGTGAGATAATCTTCACAAATGAACACCTGTTTCATGATTATTGAAGCCTAAATGCAATCGTCAGAAGTAAAAAGCTAACTTTAGGCTATAAAGGAACTACACTACAGTTGCATGACTTAACGTTACAACCATAACAACACTGTAAAGCAGTGTTCTGCGCAGCTTGGCATGATGACATCCTGTAGTCTAATTTAGCCACTTGTTAGCTTGTGTTATCTACAGACCTTATGTCAGCCATCTAAACAAACATGAGGGAACCGGGAGTGCTAAAATGCTAACTCATTTCTGGGTTTTAGGACTCATTCCTGGGGCACTCTATTCCTAGCTTAACTGTTACTTTAAGCTAGGCTAGCTAGTCATCTTTTAGCAGGACTAGCTTAAGTGGTGTTTTTGTCAGATTTAGCTACTGACTTATTTACAAACTCAATTGCTAAGATTTTTAATATTTCTTTTACTGATTTTAACCGTAGGGAACACAGAAAAAATGGGTAAATTTCCTTTTACTAGCTAGCCTTAACTAGCTAATATGGCGTCAGTTTGATTTTAACATGTTTTTTCAAATTTGATATGTATTTTCTTTTTCAAAATTTAATGGCATAATGATTTTAAAGCTGATAAAACAGATGTTAAAAGGCAAATTGTGGTCTTTACCCATCCCAATTTTGACCTGCGTTTTGGCCTTTTTAGGCTAGCACAGTTAGTCCCAGCTTCCTCAGTTACAAACAGATCATTTAATTTAGCTTTCTCGCCCATTTGCACTGGTGAACTACTCTAATTAATTAATTTATGATTTAATACATTTGAATATAATTTTTAAAGTTAGCTTAATTACATCATATTATGTGAATTCCTCTATTTTCAATGCCAGAGACAGCGTAATCTAGCTAGCTAGGCTAGTTAGCTATTAGCAGGACTAGCTTAACTGGTGTTTCAGAGTTAGCCACTGCTGTTAATAGTAACAACTAATGTTAAACTTATGGTAAAAAGTCAATTGCTAAGATTTTAGATATTAAAAACAGGTTTTAACTGCAGAAAACACAGAGGAAAAAGTGGCTAAATTAGCTTTCGCCAGCTAGCCTTTACTAGCTAGTGTTTAGCCAGTTGTTTTTTACCTTCTTTTTTTCAGATTTGATATGTTGTTTTTTGTAAGTTCTGTGGCATACTGATATTTTAGCAGGTAAAGCAGATGTCAGAAAGTGAAACTGTATTCTTAACTCAATTTTGACCCATGTAGTGTGCTGCATTTGGCTTTATAGGGCAGCACAGTTACCCTACAGTTAAACTTGCTTTTATCTCTAAATCTCAAAACCCCAGAGTAGCTGCTACATCCAGATTGAAATAATACAGGTGTCTCGGTGTTTCCCAACCCACAACAGGTTCAATATTTCAGTCAGTGATATGTTAATAAATAACAGCTGGGTTTCTGGTTCCAGTATTCTCTGGTTGACACACAGAAAGTTTCCTTTAAGCATTCATAGCCTCAGGTGGCGTTTTACTTTCCTCTGCTGAATGGTTTCACTTCCCTGTCAGCACGCTCCCCTCTGGCAAGGAAACATTTTCTCAATTTCAGGATTTTGATTCTTCAGATGAAAAGGTTACCCACTGAGTATTTACTTTCTCTAACCTTTAACTCTGTATGCAGAGGCACAGCTCTGGCAGCAAGTGCTTTTAGAAAACCGTTTTTTTTTTAATGTTAGTCTTAAAGCAGTTTGATGAAAAGATACTTTAATGAGAGGCTGTTTCGAGTCTGATGGAATCAAGCACCTTGCAATTCTGAAGTCACAGGATATGACATGTATTTCATGAAAGCGTTTATTCCTGAAAGACGTGTGTGTACATGTGTGTTTTTCAATCTGACCGAAACGATGAGTTCTCATTCCTGTACAGTACTGTTCACCCCTGCTGTCTTAGTGTCTGTAAACTGCACGTGTGCTGCAGGTAACCATATCAAACATGATTCAATCTTTAAATGTGAGTCTGAACTGATACTATTTATTTATTATTTCATTGATTTATTTTTTTGACTTTGCTGTTGTGTCCTCCATATCACAGAGATTTGAACTTATTTTCATTTAATGCCTCTGATATCTCAGCGTCATATACGATGGACTGAGTTGAATAAATGGGATGGTTTCCACATAATCAGAGGTGGATTATCAGTGCCTGCAATCAATCCTAAACAGACAGTAACTGTAGAATCACTACATGATAAATGCTGAGTATCCCAGTATGTCAGGAGTGTCCTTTAAATTAATGGGAAAACACTTATATTTAAGGACAGTAAGGATATTGGAGGTATGTTAGCAATGATAAAGTCAATGGGACTAAAATAATTGCACTGATTTTTTTTTTTTTTCCCAACTTTGAATCTGTTTTCCAATTGTCTTGTAACATAGGTTAATACCTGGGACGGAAATAGATGAGTTAGAGAAACTGGTTTTCAGTCCCATTGACTTGCACTTAAATTGTGAAAAAAAAAAGATCCCAAAAAAAGCAACAATATGAGCTGTACGTATTCCTAATTCATAATGAATTTGATATTAGAAAGGCTGCTTAAAATCTGAATTGTCCTTCCAATTGTAATCTGTAAATCTGCTCGTGTAAATACGACTGTTGTTTTCTTCCTGCTGATTCTCTCGTGCACAATTTCAACTGATTGAAATGTCAGGTGCAGTGTGAAATAAATTTTAAAATATAAAAAAAAAAATGGCTCTACCATGGTCGTGTCTTTATTTATTGATTTATTTTTCAATTTTAAAACCGTGTATTAATGTGTTATGACCACATGGTGGTAGTGCTGCATAATGACATGGCGTGCTGGATTAGTAATCATATTGGATTTGATATTCTGGCAACTTGTGCAAGCTCTGTGTTTCCTTGGCGAAAATTCAAATGAGGCACTGTGATCATATGAGATGGTTAATGAAAACAGCTGCAGGCAATCTGTTCTACATTTTCCTTTTTTTAATTTGTATTATTTGTGTTTGGAGCTCTGTGTTTACCTTCAAGTGTCCCCCGAATGCTTGTCTTATAAGAGAGGAATAAGGGAGCACTGTCGCTCACATAATCTCTGGGTTCTCTCTGCCCTCACTAAGTCATCATTTATCTGCAGCTTGTTTCATTCCCCCTTTAATTATAACTGCAGGCTGTAATAGTGAGTCCTGTGATTTACTCCAGCGCCGTCGACACAGACAGACAGAGAGAGGTGAAAAGGGGTAAGAAACTCCCCCTGAAGACACACATTAATGTGAACAGTACAGTGATGGAGGGATCAATATTTAATGTTCGGCTGCACAGAGAGCAGCAGAGTGTTAATTGGCCTCGCAGGAGCGGAGCATTGACTCACAGCTGAGTCACACTGCCTTATGTGTCATGTGTCGGGCTTCTACTTTGCTCTATTGTACTTTATACTTTTTTTAATAAGTGCTCTTGGATGACATAACACACCCCCATAATGCATCTCTCAACCTGATTTCTGACAGGGGAACTGATTGGTTCTTATGTTGAGAAGTGTGATTGATTTGTGTTAATGTCACAACACTGCCAACTTGGAAATTAGCTCGCCACATTGTCATGCAAAATCGTAAAGTGACTGCACTTGTATAGCTCCTTTCAAGTCGTCCGATCACTCAAAGCACTTTTACACTACGTCACATTCACCTTCTCACATACTGGTGGCCGAGGCTACCATACATGGCACCACCTGCTACCCAGTGAGCATTCACACACACTCACACACCAATGGAACAGACATCGGGAGCAATTTGGGGTTCAGTATCTTGCCCAAAGATACTTCGACACACGCACTGGAGGAGCCAAGAATCCCACCGCCAGTCATCCAATTAGTGGACGACCCGCTCTACTCTGACACCACCTGAGCCACAGCCACCCCTTGTCCTTACTGTATACACACACATGATGCACACACAAGCCAGTACATATAATATTGGATCCCATTAGCTGCATACTGTTACAGGTAGCTAACTAACATTGTTGGTTTGTTGTTCGATAGCATTTTGGAGCATTGACATTCAACTATAAGGTGGCCGATGGATGTTCAGCAGAGTTTCAACTAGTGTATCACCAAACTGTAAAAGTCCACATGCGACCATAACCGTGATGTTCATCTAACCTTTAACCTGACATGAATAGTTGTCAGAAAAATAGCTGTAGCTGTAGAATAGTGACATTTTGCTTTCTTGTTGAGAGCAATCTCTCACCTCATCGGCCACCAGTGTGCCGATGAGGTGAGCCTTTGGGGGCAACAACTAATATTTTAGAAGTTCTGATGAAGCCAGCTGATATCCAAGTTCCTTCTCCGTGTGCCACTCACTAGGCGCATTCAATCTCAAAATGGTGTGCACCGTTTTGCTACAGTTAACACGTCGAACAACATGTTTCGGTATGAAACACTGTGCAACAGGCTTTGAGGTATGTTTTCTCTTGTTTTGTGGGTGTGTCAGAGGTGTTACCCAGTCAGCAGCAAGTATATTTTTTCTTTACAATTTATACCTTTGGCAATGTAGACGTTTGTTTCCAATGCTAATAAAGCCCTTTTGGATTGAATGAAATGTAACCCTACCGTATTAAAAGGCCTGTATAACACAACAGGGTGTTAAACACACTACTGTGTCTTTATATTAACATTTTGCTACGTTTTTTTGGGCTGAATGCCGGCACTGTTAACAGTTTGAATAGCGAATCAGAACGCTAGAAACTTTAAGTGGGTGATTTCAACATATACTGTTGACCCAGGTAAAACTAAATTGAGTATTTGATGCAGTGAGAACATTGCTTAAAACATATAACCCTTTGAAAGGTCTCATTAAGGCTAGCAAACACATGACCCTGGGAACACAGATATGCTCCCGTCTTGCTCTGTCCAGCTAAAATCCAACAACTGTCAGCTTTACAAGTGTACAACTGAACATTATGATTTTATGGGCATTTACGTGCCAGCACTATTTGTGTCCAGGTGCAATTACTTTCACTTTAATGTTGCCATGCAACTAGCAAAAGTATTGGCCCAATCAAAAACATAGTTTGGTCTTTTTAAATATTTCTTTTTTTAAATGTTTGGCTTCATTTTAACAGACAAACATAAGAGTGATGTCGATCATATCATCTAACTCTCAGTGGTAGTGGTAGTTGGGTTGGTCACCAAGGAGGAAGTGGGTATACTCTCTCCTGTATATTCTGATTGGTTTTTGGCTGATAGGTGGGTATAGGCTACTGTAAACGTCCAGACAAAGACCATGTATACTTGCGTAGGCTATATTCTCCACTACACCACTTGGTTACTTCTGCTACTTCTAAGTTACTCATTTCCTGTGACTTTACAGGAAGTCAGAAGGCCTGTAAGTTTGCCATTATGTCAAAATATCAAGTCATCTGTCATTTGTTTTTACAGATGACGGATGATTTAGTCATCTCTATGCTCATGTTTACCATAAAGGAAATGACAAGTTCTTGGAAAAAACCTGCATGCCTTTCTTAATTAGCTTTCATACTTCGTACACAACGTCTCTGCCTTACCAGTTCCTTGGGGATGATTACGGTATACACGAATCAAATGATAATCCTTGCACATTAAGCCAGATGATCAGGTTCCACCAGAAATCAAGAACGACTTCTTAGACAGAGCACGTGGGCAGAGAGTTCCACTTTCTCTTTAATTGTAGCATAATCTATGATGAGTTTGGATAATGTATCCTCTTCTAATCTGTTCAGTGAACACATTGATTGGTGCTGTGTGTGGGCTTACACCGGATGCTCTTGTTTCACAGATAAATCCGTCTGAATAATGTGATTTGCACAGCTGCAGGTGCTTCTTATGTACTGAGGGATTCGAATCAATACAGGCTTATTTCTATGTGGAATGGCCTGGGATGAAATTTAGCCCTGTGTGTGTGTGTGTGTATGTGTGTGTGTGTGTGTGTGTGTGTGCCAGGCTCCTTTTATTGTACTAAAAAAAAAATAAAGGCATTTGTCAAATATAATGATATACCCTATGCTTTGGACCATATTTTCTGTTTTGTATTCCCATTATTGTTTTTTTTTATTATTGTTTGGCCATTAGAGACTTTTATGGTGCATTTTATTTGGGGGGGGGGGGGGGGGGGGGGGGGGGGGGGGGGGGGGGGGGGGGGGAACAACCAGGAGTGGCAGTTAAAGACGTTTTTCTGAGCGGCAATGAGGCTCAGGAGGACAGGGTCAATATTCACCACCCTGGCTCCTATCTGTGAGCGTCCACAGAATGAATCCTCCGGCTAAAAATACCAGCGCTGCTGCTTTATGACCAGAACTGATGAGCCGTGATAGTGCTTGCTCTCTTAATGCAGCTACAGAAATCAACCTTGTCCCCTCTCGGCAGATCTCAGTTATCAAGCAAAACAGATTGGGATAGAACAACATTTCTTTAATACGCCGGCAAAAGCGCTTTAGCATTAAATTAGAGGGCAGTGCCTTTGAAGAAATTTAATTTACTGACTCAGTTTGAGTTTTTACATCCCGACAAATAGAGCAGCATGAAGAGGTGGAGATGGAAATGAATACCAAGCGGGAGTGTGATTGTAAACGGGTGTAAAATGACAATGAGGGATATAGCTTGTAGTGACAGCATGAGTAAGAGGGTCAAGTGTGTGCTTTTGTGCACATTTGACAGACAGGAGCTCTCTACATTGAATTATCTGCTGTAGATCTCTCCATCTAAGTGCAGGTCAGTATCAATGGTATGCCAAGTGGTTATTGAATCAGGAGAGCTCTCCAGTTGAACCCTGTGTAGTGGCGATTAAATGAGAACATTAGAGTTCATAAGTTTGAATTCAAAACCAGAGCAGCGGGGAATTTAGGCATGGCTGAGCTGAGAGGGAAAGACAATATACACCCACTGAATGGAGTGTTTTACCTAGTTTTTGCCTTGATGGGTATGCTGAAAGAGAAGGAGGTTAAAGTAAAGGTAAAGAGGTCCTGGTTAGAGTTAGTACTAGCCAATCACAGCACAACAGGGCAGGACTAGGTAATTCGGAGGGGGTATTCTAACATCTATTGAGAAAGACAGAAAGACATTTTTGCTTTTGTTTTTTGTTATGTCACATTTACTGTATCGGGTCAGCCCTTGCTCAGTTCTTCTAAGCTAGACAGACCAATCTAGAAGATGGGTCCATCCATCCAGGGACAAGAACTGAGCAAAGTACTCCAGATGTCCCTCTCCCCAGCAACGCATTCCGAATCCCTCTAAATATGTAATCATACCAGGGTGTTCTGGGTCTACCCCAGGGACTCCTACCAGTTGGCTGTGCCGGGAAAAACTCAAACGGGAAGCTCCCAGGAGGCATCCTTATCAGATGCCTGAACCGCCTCAATTGGCCCCTTGCGACACAAAGGAGCAGCAACTCTTCTCTGAGCTCCCTCCAGATGTCTGAGCTCCCCACCCCATCTGTAAGGCTGCAAGGCTGAGCCCAGGCACCCTACTGAGGAAATTCATTTAGGATGCTTGTATCTGCTGGCTCATTCTTTCAGTCACTACCCAAAGCTCATGATCATTGATCTGCTCCTTTTTCCCTCACTTGTGAACAAGAGCCCAAGGTAGCTGAACTCCTTTGCTTGGGGCAGTAACTCTTACCCAACCCAGAGGGGGCAATTCACCATTTAGTTTTAGGTCTAGGAAACAAATTTTCTTTTCCTAGGATGGCAAATGCATGATCC